TGACATTTTCTCCTTGTTTTTTCCTCTCCCTCTCTCTCATGCACACATTATGCAGCTCACTATCAGTATTTGCATTGCACCCAATATACCTGAGAGTAGATGCACTTTCTGAGGATATTCCAGAAGATATCGAGGTGTTGATTCCATCTCTTATTCATTTTCTCTATTTCTCCTAATCTTTGGTTGATAAAGAAATTAGTGAGGGAAATACTTTTCAATAACTCCTTGGTTTGATTGTTATACAGAAAAAGAAGGAAACCCTGGTTGGGGGGGGGGGATGATAGGACGAGGTGGAACAGTGTGTTGTTTATCTTTTACTTTACAAAAACAAAAGGAAAATCACATTTCCACTTTTACCTTAGCACTATGATTGGTTCAACGAATATGGAAGGAAAAGAAAAGAAAATAATTTTTCTCTCATTTTCCTCACCAAGTTGGGAGGAATTTGGTTTTCCCTCCTCTTAACACATTCTGCCTTCTACTTTTCCTTTCTTATCATCTATAGCCAAACAGGAAAAACTGTTTTTCACTTCATTTTCTTTTCTTTTCCTTTTCAAATTCCTTGAACCAAACATAGTGTTGATTTTCCTCCCAAATTTCTTTCTTTTCCTTACTATTCTTTTCTTAAGTCTATGACATGCTTTGTTCCATCATCTCCGATGGAGCCAAAATTTCACCATTTTTTGGCTTTGGGGTGTGATGGAATAAATCAAAATGGATCTCTAAACTAGCTGCGCTTCTTTAATTAATGAAGTAGCAGTTAGTCAAACAATGCAACTTTCGACGTTGAGCCGGGGGTCTCTTTGGAAACAGCCTCTCTACTTTCGAGTAGGGGCAAGGTCTGCGTACACACACCCTCCCCAGACCCTACTCTTGTGGGATTTAACTGGGTTGTTGTTGTTGTTGTATGACATGCTTCCGCAAATACTTGAGAGTTAAACCTGACATATTTCTCCACTCATGCGCAGCAAGAGATAAAAAAAGCTAGAGCTCAGCTTGATGGAAAGGTATTTTTATCGATATTTAACGCACACACATAATATAATTGGTTCATAATTGGATTGGTTTTAATAGCTGCAGGATGTAGATTATGAAGCTACTATGGCTACAAAACTTTCTATTGCCAAAAAAGTTTTTTTGCTAGAGAAGGACAGGATATTAAGCTCGGAGTCTTTCCAAAATTATTTTGCCGAAAATCAGGTTTTCATATAATAGTCTCTACTCCATCCCTCTTAAGATTTCAAACTCCCGTTATTCAAACTGAGTTCCTTTTGGATATGTTCTCATGGAATATGGCAAAATGGTATTTCTTATTCTCGATGTTGATTCATTGAGGGCAGGATTGGTTGAAGCCCTATGCAGCATTTTGTTTTCTGCGAGACTTCTTTGAAACATCCGATCATAGCCAGTGGGGTTGTTTTTCTAAGTTTTCAAAAGAGAAGGTATGTGATGAAATTCATAATTGAGTTGGGGTTGATGACTGGATTATAATGTTCAATTGTTCAAAGGCGAAACCACACAAAAGATTAAATCTAATTGGATAGCTATTATGTGATACTCTTAGCCAAAGATTAAATCCAATCAATTAGCTACGACAATTCAAGGTCTTATAGACCCATATCTATTCCTTAAATATTTCAATATGATAATATTAACAGTATCTGTGTATGCATGTTCATTAATTGTTTTTGTAGCTAGGCTTTTTTTCTGTCCCCAATAACAGTGCTGCTTTTGCTTCTTCAGCTCGAGAAACTTGTGTCGAAGGACTCCTTTAACTATGAAATAATTTGCTTTTATTACTATCTCCAATTCCATTTGCATATGCAAGTAAGTCAATTTTTTTAACTGAAAGTTATTCATATTGGGTATTGACTATTGTATCCCTGGCCACTCCTTCTCTGGTAGATAACAATTGACTGTGTATGCTGCATATGATGATGGCAGTTATTAGAAGCTGCAGAATATGCAAAAAGAAAAGGAGTGGTGCTGAAAGGCGACCTACCTATTGGAGTTTCAAGAGATAGTGTTGATACCTGGGTCTATCCAAATCTGTTCCGCATGGACACTTCCACTGGTGCACCTCCAGACTATTTTGACAAAAACGGGCAGAATTGGGGATTCCCCACTTATAATTGGGAAGAAATGTCTAAGGATAATTATGCTTGGTGGCGAGCTCGTTTAACCCAGGTTTGTAACAACTTAATATACATATAGCCTTTTTCCTGTTTCCTTTATCCAGTAACCTTTTATTTGAAGATTATAATATTATGAACTGATTTTGCAGATGGGTAAGTACTTTACAGCTTATAGGATTGATCATATATTGGGCTTCTTTAGAATATGGGAGCTTCCTGATCATGCTGTGACTGGCCTCTGTGGGAAATTTAGGCCATCTATACCTATTAGCCAGGTGACACATTTGTTTAGTTTATTTTGTGATTGAGTCTTTGCAAGGTAATGATGTCCCACTGAGCTATTCCTTCTTTAGGAAGAGCTTGAGTCAGAAGGAATATGGGATTTTGACCGCTTGTGTCGTCCATATATTCGGCTGGAGTTGCTAAAGGTGTGTGATATGCTTCACTACATTGTAATTAAGATCTCTTGGGGCTTTGTGTAAACGTCATGACTAGATAAAAAAATTAGAGAACATTAAATATTCTTGATAGAGAAACCTATGTCTCCATTATGAAGTTTATAATATGTGTTGTTATCAGATACCAGTATTTATAATCATTTTACTTTGCTAACTTGCAGGAAAAATTTGGGGATTCGTGGACTATTGTTGCTTCAAATTTCTTAAAAGAGTATAAAAAAGATTTTTATGAGGTAAACTTTATCTCAATAACAAGGTTACCAGAGAAGAATTACGCTTAAGACAAGAGTCACAACTGCTGTTTTTCCAATACTTTTCCATGCATACCCTAGCATGTGATGGTTGTGTGGTTCCTTAGAAAGAAAATAAAATCTGCTCTGTTTTGTGTCTTCAGTGGCAAAAACTAATTGTTCTTCTGTGCACCTCTAAAATGTTCTGCGAGTAATTTCTCTTCTCTATGGGAAAATGTAGTTCAAAGAGGAGTGCAATACCGAGAAGACACTCTCATCCAAACTAAAGCTATTATTAGAGAAATCCATGCTCACGGAGGGCGAAGAGAAACTTAGACGGGATCTCTTTGATCTTTTACAGGTCCTCTAATGTTAATGTATGGTTCCTCTCAGTTTTTTGTCTCAATGTATTTGTCCTATAATGTTCTTTTTTTGGTCACAGGATGTGGTCTTTATCAAAGACCGAGAAGATCCAAGAAAGTTTTATCCTCGTTTCAATGTTGAAGACACTTTGAGTTTCAAGGATTTAGATCAGCACAGGTGCGGGATTAGCTTGAATTTGGCCATGGTGTCACTTTCAGATTTTTTTTTAATGTGATTTTACAAACCGGTGGACTATAAGTTTCAAACAAGCCTGCAACTTATTATTTACGCCCCGTAAATCTGTTTAAAAAAAAGTTGCTTATGGTTTGTGTGTGTGTTTTGGAGCAGCAAAAGTGTTGTGAAAAGAATGTATTATGATTACTACTTCCACCGACAAGAAAGCATGTGGCGTCAAAATGCTTTGAAGACTCTGCCTGTTCTTATGAATGCATCTGATATGCTCACTTGTGGGGAAGATCTTGGCCTTATTCCTGCATGTGTTGCTCCTGTATGATATATATGCTAACTAGTTTTTTTTTAGAAACATACTTTTTTTAAAAAAAAAATCACAAAGTCTCTCTCACATGTTGTGGACACTGATAAACAAAAGAACCATTTTGGTGCAACAGGTCATGCAAGAGCTGGGTCTAATAGGGTTACGCATCCAACGCATGCCAAGTGAACCTGGAAGAGAATTTGGTATTCCTTCAGAATACAGCTATATGACGGTAGATACTTTACTTATTATTAATATTATTATGATTCAAATTGAAATTATTATTATTTGTGATAAATATGGTTATAGTAAAGAAGATAGGTCCTTTGTAGATTTAAGACCGAAACCTCTTTCATTTAATCCTCAGGTATGTGCTCCATCATGTCATGATTGCTCCACACTGCGTGCCTGGTGGGAAGAAGATGAAGGAAGGAGGCGTCGGTTTTTCCAACATGTTGTGGGGTCCGATGAATTGCCGCCTGATCAGTGTACACCTGAAATAGCCTACTATATCTTGCAGCAGCATGTTGAGTCACCATCAATGTGGTCCATTTTTCCTCTCCAGGTATTTTCCTTCTTTGACTTTGGGTCTTGTCAGTTCCTAAATACTGTCTCTTTTTCTAAAGAGAAAAAATGTATCTACATATTTTTCGTTAAAAAGAATTATTTGAAGTTGATTTGGACAAGGGGGGATGAGATTAAAGCTGTGTCCAGAAGCATAAACATACTAGAGCGTTTAGAGTTTCACGGTGAGGACGATTTGGTACTATATTCGTTGCCAAACACTATCATCCTCCCATGAGAACTCATTACTGAAACATAGCCATTAGCCAGACTTAATGGAGTTGGAATCATTGTTTATGGAATGAATGAACAGGATTTGCTGGCACTCAAAGAAGAGTACACGACTCGCCCTGCATTCCAGGAGACCATAAACGATCCCACGAATCCAAGACACTACTGGCGATACCGTAAGTTCATCTCATCATTTATCCACACTTCTGTTTTATGATGTCATCTTTTTCCTAGTTTGGTTTTATTATTTGTCACTCATTTCAAAATTATTTAAGAACTGAGACAAAGGCGTAGTTTGTTATTGTTGAAGAGCTTTAAACACCTCTTCTGTAAAAAAATTTGGTGGAAAATTCTACAAATATGTGGCTTGAAAGCACCTCAAGTTTTGACAAAATTGGGTGATATTTAGTGAAAAATAACACCCCAGTATCAAAAAAGAATTGCATTCGCGATACTTTCAGTCATAAATTACTTGAGTAATTTTTTTTGAAAATTTACTTGAGTAAATATAAATCTATGTGTAACAAATTGCAATACTTTTATTCAGCAATACCAAATATGAACAAACTGACCTGAAGAGGTTGACTTCATGCATATTCCAACCATTTTTCTTCTTCACTCAGGTGTGCATGTAACAATGGAGTCCTTGCTCAAGGATAACTCGCTTATAAATGCAATCAAAGATCTCATCTGTGGTAGCGGAAGATCTTACCCTAAAAAAGAGCTCGATACGAATCAAGGAAGTGAAGCAGAAAGAGTTCCACTTGAGTTGCTGGAAAATGGGGCCTTCGAAACAGCAGTAGCAATTGTGTGAATTTCAATAGGACTCTTTGGAAACAAAGCCAATAATAAGAACTTGCTTTCAAGAAAAGCAAATAGTACCAAACACCTGTAATGTATCAAATTTCTTGACCATTCTAAGTTCATTCCATTCCTTGTAAAATATCTTCTTCCATCAAGGGAGAGTAATTAAACATCAGTAGCAGTAAATGAAGCTTGTCAAATAATCATCTAACATTTTCTTTTACTCCGTATAATAACAGCAGTTCTCTTACAATGTAATGTGACAGTTTCTCTACAGGTTTGGTCACACATAGGGAGGGTAAAAAAGAAAAAAAGAGGGGAAAACATAAAAGAGAATTTTTTTTAATATAAAAATCATAGGGGAGAAAATGAGTGAAAAGGATGACAACATGACCACCACATTTCCACCATCCTAAATGAAGTCAATTCAGCTTTAATTTTACACCTATATTGAACACTAGATACATGGCAGTAAAGCTTTTGGGATCCATATTTCTCTTCCTGATAAAGGATTAGTATGAAGATCCCAACCTTTGCTTTGACAAGCCACCACACTTTCTGACCTCAAAAGCCTCTGGTAAGATTTTCTGGAAAACCTCCAAGAACATCTCCCATTCTGTACTGCTAATCTCACCAAAACAAATACCTTCACAATCAGTCTGGTACGTAGCTGCAGAATAGCTCTTGCTCTTCATCAATCCACCGCCCTTCTGAAATTCACTAGCATTACAATACTCATAATCCACTTTGATACCACCATCACCAGAACTTTTTTGACAGAAGAAATTTATGACACTATCATCCAACGTATTCATAGACCCTAGTGATGAAAACCTTGGGATTTTTGGTGGTTTTCCACTGATTACTGTGCTCTGCAAGATTTTTGCACGGCCTAAGCCGCCTTCCTCAATGATGACACTTTCAGATTCATCATCCAATTGAAAAACTTCGTAGTCTTCTTCATCTATATTTTGATCAACGTTGGTGTTGACAACGATGGTTCTAGTAGTCTCCAAACTGGCCTTGGCCTTCGAACAAAGAGTCTCTAGAACACTCCACCTTTCCTCCCCTCCACAAAATTCTCGAGTCATCATTTCACCAATATCTGCAAGGCAAAGCCCAAAAGCAGCAGCGGACTTCAAGAAGATGGTGCAAACTACAAGAACTCGAATAGACGATTCTCTTATAGATGGCAACCGATTTCTTATCAATTCTGCATCTTTGAAAGGATCAAGACTGTTAATGTAATCAATCTCAGACTCTGAGAATGGAATAGAAGCCTGAGGCCAATGCAACCACTCAAAATATGGATCATCAAGTGATTCAGGCAAACAAAGACCATGGTCTATTGGGACAAGCTTTGCTGATTCAACAGCATAACCTTCTTGTCTTTGTTTCAATAGAATGTTTCCGGCATGTCTGTCAAGGTTAAGAAGTCTCACGTCTAGAATCCCAATGCTGTGAACTGAAGCAACTGAAAAGCATGAAGGACCAATCTCTCCTGCATCGTTATCATGGTCCACAAAACGTTGAAGCGAGGCAATCTTATAAGGTGGAGGCGAAATTGATTTGGAAGTATTTACATTGAATGCCACATGAGAAATCTTGACAAGGGCAGTAGGGGGGACACCGGCAAACCCGCCGTGATCAAGGAGATATGCAGCCAACTCTCGAAAGCCGGTTTCACCTACCCTGATGGAGGGCTTTAGGCCCGGTTGACCCAACATCCGACCGCCAAAGCCTTTTGGGTTATTGATGGCCAGCGGCTCCTCATCGATTGGTTTTGCTACAGCTACTCTGTTGCCATTACTAGATTGAAGGAAGTAAGCGCCACCCAGGCCACTAGGTACTGGCTCAGGAATTATTCCAGAGGCCAAGATTATAGCAACCTCGATAACAAGAGCATGCACATGCGGAGCTCCATGGCCTGCTATGATTTCAATTCTTGGAGGATTATATGTGTCAAGTTCATCATCAAGTTTTTTGGAAAGGGATAAACAAGGGCTGGAGTAACTTTTGTGCATGTTTGGAAATTCAAAAGCAGCATGCTCTTGAGGACATGTGGAATTTGTTTGGCTTGATTCGAGATTAGAGAAATCAAGATGAGAGTAAGATTGAAGTTTGCATCTTGGAGGTCTGCCAAATAGCTTGAAACCATAATTGTGTTGATCAACAGCTACAGCCATCTCGAAGAATCTCATTCAGGTGAGTATATATCTATACAAGTATGTATGCTGAGGGAACTCATATTAGTTAGAGGATCCCTAGAGGGTTAGTCTTCCCTGGGAGATTAGCCTTCACATCTTCTGGAAAAAGAATCAAGATTTGTGAACGTTAGAGACAAATAATGTTTCATGGGAAAAATATCATTGGAAGAAAAAAGTCACTTCGTTGTTGTTTTACAAATAATTTATGACTTGTTTGGCAACAATGTTTTCGATTAGCGTTAGCGTTTTGTATAGAATATTAATGATATAGATTAGCTTTGAAAATGCTCACGCTAAAGACTACCGTCACATAGCCTTTTTCAAAACACTAACGCTAATCTCTAATGCTAATGCCAAACAGGGCCTTAATGGAATAAGGAAATTTTCTTGAAGTGAAACGCGAAATATGGAGATTGGAGAAGACCATAAAAAAGAAAACTAAGAGCAGGTAAAAGAATCTTACATCATTGTCATATTAAAGATCTATGAAGTAGTATATAGTAATAATCGTGTTGCTAATCTCCGAACACCTACAACATATCCACAGAAGTATAGCAACATGTTACCTTAATCACAAGACAAGACAAGTAGAGAGTGGAATCAAGACACGAGTTAATATTTTACATACCATCTTATTGGTCCCTCGCTGCTCTTCTTATTAGTCGCCACAATTGACTGCAAAATCTCGGAGTCATCAATTTTGTCAAAGCATAAAGCAAAAAAATGAAGAGGAAAAGATGATTTTAATATATACGTCTGTAATCAGATAGTTTGGGACTTCGTCTTTCTTTTTGGGAACCATGCTCTCCATTTCCAAAATTCAAATCTCTGATCCTATTACTCCAAATTATTTGATATATTGGGGGGGGGGGGGATTTAATCATTCATTTCAAGCAAAACATATTCAATGAGTTATAGCTGTTGATTGTTCCGTTTCCAGAAAAAAATGTAACAATCTATTCAAATCACATGTACAAGATAAAAACCAAACATTAAACATAAATACTTCCTATTAAAGCATAATCATTTTTTTACAGAAAAAAAAATGATGGAACCCTAACATTTCCAAAATCAAAATCGCCTGAATCCACATTACACATTGATCAATCATTTTATGCAAAACAGACATTATTATTATTTAGATATGTATTACAGAAACATAATTATCTTTGTCGTCGAACAGAAGAGAGGAATTGATGGTTCAAAATGTATGAATCGAAGAACGAGAAAGCATAAATCTTAGGGAAAAGGGGGGAAAAGAATGGAAGTACCCTGAACACTGGTGAGGCATTCAGGGAGACGATCGGCAACGGGAGAGCGCGAGAGAAGAACAATTCCGTCACCGAAAAGCACCCAAAGATATGGAGCCTACCCCTCTTCTCCTCCGCCCTTTTATTTTTTCTTAGCGCAAAAAGTTATATTTATGCAATCTGTGTGTGTATATATATAATATAATCCCCAGTCTCAGGGGAGACTCGTCTTCTTCCTTATAAATCTCTCCTTTTCTCTCTCCCAACTCTTCTTTATCATTTTTTTTGAATATCTGGTTAAAAAAACTTCCTCTCCCTCCGTTTATTTCGCATACTTTTTTTAAATGTTTTTTTGCCAATAATACCTCTTTGTCATAAAATGAAAGAAAACTAGTAGAGATTATGAAGATAAATATGATATATTTCTGATTTATTCTCTTGATGAATTTTTCACTCTTTCTTTTGTTGTTAATGATATATGAGGACCTTGGTTCCCATGACATTGGTTCCCAATGTCATGGAACCCCTTGATATATTTGTAGGGATCCTAAGCCACCTATTTATAATGGAGAGCCTTAATGAGGACAGTATTACAAATAGTATACATACTATACAAATGACAACTTAATTCTGATGATAAACAATTTGTTTCTGCAACTATGATGAAGCAACCTAATTAATTGATAATTGAACCATTCATATATTTCTTAACACTCCCACTTGAATGTTCATTTTTCAATTAATGATGAATAATTTGTGAAATGAGCATAGTTCTGGTTTTGGGACTCATCCTAATTTTAAGTACTGGTTCGTTAAAAATCTTGTCAGAAAAAATCCAGTGGGATAAAAACCTGATCAAAAGAAAAAGAGTACAGTGCATAAAATTCTCCCACTCAGCTTAGCATAATTGGCGGAGGCGACGCATGCCAATCTTGTGTACAAGTTCTTCAAATTTCTTTAGAGGCAACACTTTTGTAAATAAATCTGTTGTGTTCTCACTGGACTTAATTTGCTTGATGTGAACCTTTCCATCTTTCTTGAGATCACGTGTTGAGAAAAACTTTGGTGATAGATGTTTTGTTTGTTCTCCTTTGATGTAGTCTCCTTTAACTTGAGCAATGTTATATTTGGTTGGGTGAACTAGGTTGTTTAAAATATTTTCGCAAAGTAAAAACTTAAACGAAAGTGAACAGCGGAAAAAGAGCAAGGAAAATAATACAAAAGAAAAGCACACGACACAACAATTTTATAATAGTTCGGGAACTCACTATTCCAGTACCTTGAGGCTCCTCCTCAAGGATTTAACCTCTACTAACTTGTTTGGCTTCACTAAAAAGTTTCCAATGAGATTTGGAAAACAACCCTTGCCAATAAGTAACGAGGTTTTACAACGGCTATCTCGACCACTTTATAATAAAGATTTTAAGGCTATCTTCAACCTTAGAACTCATTGAGGATTTAAAGGCTATCTACACCTTTTACAAATTAAGAAGTATATGAGGTTGCTTCTGTACCAAGAATAAATAATATGAATTCGGTAGGAGAAGAACAAAATATTAAATCAACAAAAACAATAGCCTATGGGAAAGATATAAAATAATGAATCAAAATGCCCTTGTGTGTGAGTGTATAAACATAATAAAAGCTCAAACTTAAAAAGAGTGATGAAAATGAAGAAGAAAGTTTAAGAACACTCAAAAATGATATGAGAAAGCTTTAGAATGTTATGGGATGTTGTTTTATGAATAATGAGACTTATGTTAGTTCCATATTGTGTTGGCATTATTTTTTGACAAGCGAATAGATTTACCAAGAATTATTTTAGATGTATTATTGTGTTGGCATTTATTTTGTTGTATTATTTTTTGGCATTATTTTTTGACAATAGCTTTCTTCCTTCCAACATTTCCAGCCATTCTACTTCTTACATCAATGCAACTAGCTGTTTCTAGTTGTCTCTTAGCTGTTGTCCACAATGAAGTGATTGTCCTTCTACTAACATTGAATTCAGCAGCCACACTTTTGACATAACCCTCCTGAGCAGTTTGTGTGCCCATAATGTTTGTTTTTGCTTGTAGTAGCAACTTGTCAATTATTCCTTGTCTTTCCAAGTTTGATAGCTTTTTTTCCTTTTACCTGGTGTGTTTTCGAATTCTGTGTGCAGTGTCGATGTTGGTATTGACGGTTCCATCCCTGAAATTGATATGGTTGTGAAGACAGCACTAGAAAAAGGAAAAAGAAAAGCTCTCTCACATGGTAGGAAGAGAAAGAAGCTTGGAGACACAAATTCTCACATGGCAGGAATAAACAAAGGCAAAAAAGAAGAAATTGGCAATGAAGAAAAAAAGAAGAAGCTGGGAGTGGAGAAGGAAACAAAGAAGGTTGCAGTGAAGGTTCTAACTATCTAAAAATGGAAATCTAAAAATGGAAAGTACTTATAGGCTTTACATTTGGGTGGGAACTTTTCACTTAGTGGAGGGAAATGAATTTTTTTGACTAATTTTGGCACTCAAAAGTCCCGTGTAATGTGGAGTATGGAGGATTTTTTAATCATTGAATTGTACTTCTACTTTTGACATTGTAATCATTATGTATCAAATCAAACAACTTTCTCTTCCTTTTTTCTTTTACAAAATACATGGCAAACCCACTAAAGGGTAATATGGGAATGTCAAAGATAATTTCAGCTTTTCTTAAAGTGTGTGCCCGATCAACCGGGAAGTTTTTTTGGACGGAGGGAGTATGTTTTTATCTTTTTGTTAATGTCAAAAGGGGGAAGATAAGGGCTATGCATATTCTAAGGGGGAACTTTTATAAAATATTTTTTTTGACAAATTGTTAAGGCATAAATTAAGGGGGTACATTTTCCAAACTTACTCAAAAGTCAAACACCCTTCTTATGAATATCCCTATCTTGTTTGCCATTGTCAAAAAGGGGAAATTGTTGGAACACGGGTGTACGCCTACGTCGTACTAAAACCGTGTTCGTTTTATGACAGATTTTGATAATGTCAAACCGTCGTGAAAACAAGAACATATTGAAAAAACCAAAGGCGAAGAAACACGGCATGGTGATCAAGTGAAAATGAGAACCAAGAACAAAGAACGAAGACGTAGAAATTGTTGAGTCAGTCTTTGTGTGATCAAGACCGGCATTGACTTTGCAAATTGGCTCTCTAGGCTAATTACATTAAAATTATTTTCATGCATCATCAAAAAAATTTTCAGAAGTTTTTAGTAAGCCTAAAACACTTGGATTTCGCCAAAACCAAAAACTAAGCCATTCGGCGTTCAGCTTTCAGAAACCGGCATTGGTTTTTGGCGTCCGAACAAACCAAGTGGTTTTTAACTTTTTATGATTAGTTTTTACTTCTGGACACATTTAAATAGTTCTCCAACCAAAAAGCTTCAAAAACCACCTTTCGTTTTTGGTCTTTTAGTAAAAACCATGTGAAACAACATAAACTTGGCTAATCGTGGTTTTTACCCAAATAACGTGATTTTTAAGATATTTCACTTGGTTTCTTAGTAAAATACATTAAATAAGTGTTTTCAACACTTGGTTTTAAATTTGGAAAACTTTGGTTTTTGACATCGGCTTTCGGCATTGACTGGCTAGCCATGGTTCTGGCAAACCAGCCCAACAGCGATGTTGAAGTGACCAACAACGCTGTTTGGTGTTGGCACCTGAAAACCATGGTTTGGAACTAAGTCTCCCAACATTGAAGCTTTTCGAACAGTGATGTAGACTACTCTACATCGATGTTCAACTCAAACCAAGAGAAAATGAGTTTGGCAGATTGTTTTTGCGCCCAGCAACATCGATATAGGCACCTGACCGTTGGAAGAAATTAAAGGCTAAAACTTTCCATGTTTGGAAGTCAACACATTGAACATCAATGTTCACCTCTTCTACATCGCTGTTGGCATGACCGTTGAAGCTTCCAATTCAAAAGTTTAAGCCTCAACAGCGATGTTCAAGTGATGAACAACGCTGTCAGGCCAAATTTCAGCGGATCCAATTTTAATCAAATATTATGCCAATCACATCGAATCAACTCCCACACGTTGGAGCCTATTTTTCTACTATAAAATGGGGTGTTTAGGTCTGTTTTCTCATCCAATTACTTCACAACTCATATTATTCATTGCATTCTATTTATATATTTTTCATAGCTTTTTGAGAGCCATTTTTGTGAAGTCCATGTTGTGTTCTTGAGCGTTTTTAATTACTAAACATCCACTCTAAAAGAGAGTATTGTTCTTGAGTGAATTTGTGTTTAAGACACTTGTTAAGAGAAGGTAATTCTCTTGTTTGGTTCGAAGGAAGGTTTGTTTCCTTCGAAGGATCATTGAGGTTCGTGTGACTCAAATTCTCAAGTTGTACGAGTTTGTTAAGCACCGTTAAGCTTAACGTTGATAGTGTAACTCGAGAGAGTCTCTCGGGAGGCTGGCCGTAGCCACACGTTGTGGTGAACCAGGGTAAAATCGGTGTGTCTTCTCCTTACTCTTTACTTTACGCCTTTAAATTTTTTATTCTTGCGATATTTCATTTCAAACGCTATTCACCCCCCTCTAGCGTTGGGACTATAATCTAACAATTGGTATCGGAGCCTAATTATCTTCCAGACTTAACGTTTGAGAGGAATAAGATCATGGGCTCTTCTTATAGAAATTTGTACGCAGGTATTGGTGAAGGACAATCCACCTCTATTTGATGGCACCAATTACACATATTGGAAGGAACGGATGAGAATCTATACCCGTTCCACCAACTTCCAATTGTGGTTGGTTATAAAAAATGGTGAAGAGGTACCAACGAAAAAAGTAGGAGAAACCACGGTTCCAAAGACCAAAGACAAATTTGATACCGAAGACATCAAAAAGGTCGAAAATTATGCAAAGGCATTAAACATGCTATATTGTTCCATAAATCCTGATGACTACCGCAAAATCTGTTGTTGCTCAATCGCCAAGAGATGTTGGACAAGCTTGAGGTGACGTACAAAACTACGGATCAAGTGCGTGAAGCAAAGATCGATTTTCTCACCCAAGAGTACGAGATGTTCCGAATGAAGGAAGGTGAGAAGATCGATGACATGTTTGGTCGTTTCTCAAAGATCATCAACGATCTTCATGCTCTGAAGAAAAGCTACTCCAACAAGGATCTAGTGAGGAAGATCCTGCGAAGCTTGACTCCCGAATGGCGCTCAAAGGCTGATGCCATTTACGAGTCAATCGGCGTCTCCAATGTCACCATCGATGGGTTAAGAGGTAATCTCAAAACGTACGAATCTATTATACTCAACCCATCGTTGGATGAACAAAGAAAAAAGGGGATTGCACTCAAAGCCACCTAGAAACCGGTGGAAGGAGAATCAAGCGACGATGACAACAAATTTGGGCTTGTTATCAAGAAATTCCACAAATTCATAAAAAATGAGTTTGAGCACAAAGGAAAGAAGCACGAGGGTCCCCCGAAGTGCTATGGCTGAGATTGGCCACATCAAGCCAAGATGTCCAAAAGCCAAGAATGGCAAGGACAAGCACGGTATCAAGAAGCAAAGAGCATATATCTCTTGGGGTGGTGATTCCGGTGATGAGTCAACCGACCAAGAGGAAGACGAAGCTGCAAACCTTTGTCTCATGGCACACAAAGAAACTAACGATGACATGCAAGACCGTCTTTTGTATCTTCAATTTAAATACTCCGTATAAAAGAGTGACATTTTTGTGAAAGTATTCCAAATTTTTTGTAGTATTTTTAAATAACTTGCAATTCAAATGATTCTTTGCAAACCAAGAAAAAAGATACCATTATTCTCATGACTTTCACACAAAAAAGGGAGTAATTAAGATTATTCTAAAATACACTTCCTCTCCCTATTTTTATTATAAATTGCGTAAAATTAATAAATAATTTAATTTTTTTTCAATTTATTTTATTTAAAGATTGAGATATAAATAAAAATAAAACTTACATATTTAAAAAGTACATCAAAAGTTTTACGAAACAAAATGTTACAATAATATATTTTATTTTATTTAATAATCAATGAAAATACATCAATAAACAAAATTATCGTGATTTTAGAATAGTAAATATTGTAATCAATTGTGGAGGGAAGGAGTATTATAGATAAGATTATTTTGAGCAGAGCAGCAATACAATAGTTAGAATTATTTTTATTAATTTTTGTTATAAAAAGAATGTCAAGAAATAGAAAACCTTTTAGGCTATTTTAATTTCTACCCATTTCCCCAATTGCAACTAGCCCACGGCTCCCTTCTTATTCTGATTCTCATCGCCGGCGATAACTTCACCTTCTCCGATTCGATCTTCGCCGGGCGCCTTGTCGATTTGTGTGCAGCAGTTGAAGTAGCCGAACCTCGGCGTGGTCTCCGGAGAGAAGCCGTCGGAGAATTTTGTGTCAAAGGTGAAGGAGCTGGCAGAGTCGTCACCGTAGGTGCGGGCTACGGAGTGGAGCGGGGTGAGGGGACAGCTCTTCCGCCGTTTCGGGTGGCGAATCGAGTCGTGGGGATCCTCTTTGTCCGACGGTGGTCCCAAATCGGCGGCGGCTGGTGTTCTGGGGCGGTCCATTGTTTATTTTTTACCGAGTAAAAAAAAAGGAAATAAGGAAATGGATTTGGACAGGAGCAGAGAGTGGTTGGCGACTCTGGAGTGTGGACGGAGAGAACTGACGGTGGAAGGTGGTGCGTGTACTTTTTTTTTCTTTTCTTTGTTTTTTTTTTTACTAAAAAAAGTATCCATTGCCTTTTTCTGAATTCTGAGAGATCCACCGGCTTCTCTTTGAGTACACTTCAAAAATTCTACAAATTCATACATGTTCTCATTTTAATTTTCTAAGGTTTTTGAGAAGTGTTGGAAAAGATAAAAATTTACGAAAATATTCTTAATGAAAATGGATGGAATATATTAAATGAGATGGGTTAGGTGTACTATCTTGGCCCCTAAATATTTGTTCAGTTTTTATTTTTTAAATCAATTATTTTCTATATTTGACCTATAATTAAATAAAATATATATTGTATACTAATTAGATAAAATAATATTTTAAAAATATTTGATATAATAAATCTAATAAAACTATTTTATATCAATATCCATTATCATTCTTATTTAATTTAGGGTAAAATTTACCAAATTTGACTTAAAAAGTCAAAAGTGAACGATTATTGAGAGACAGAGAGAGTAATAAATAAAGTAAGGATAATTATGGTAATTTAAATGTTGAAAAAAAGTATGAGAAAATCTCTCAGGGACGAATGAAATAAAAAGTTTAAAGGAAAGATTTATGGGGAACGGATGGAGTAGCAGTTAACATCACATATGATAGTTGTTTGTGACTTTCATACATACATGCTATTGTCTTACGGCCAGGTTCTAGTGACACTAGAGAACGGTGCCAATAGCGGTGCCACTGGCTTTTTGGGGGTACCTCCGATGCTCCGTTCGTAAAATTGACGGTTCCTACCCCCTAGCTCGCCCCCTAAACCCCCCACCCTGCCCCCACCCCTGCACCCCCACCCCAACCCCGCCGTAAGCCTCACACAAAATGTGTGGCTATTATGCAATGCTGTGTTAGCTACACATACAAAAGGCTGTTCGCTAGTGGCACCGCTGGTGGCACCGTACTACGCTAGAGAAGTTATCGCCGGCGATGAGAAGTTTGCGAACGGAGCACCAAAGATGCCCCAAAAACGCAGTGGCACCACTAGTGGCGCCGTACGTGAAGGTAGTCGACAAAGGTGGCCAGAGGTCGATGACAGTGGTTGGAGGCCGGCAACATTTGCGACAGACCGGATGTCGACGGCGGTGGCTGGAGGTCAGCATTGATAGAGGCGGGTTGGTGGCGACAATGGTTGTAAATGATGATATATAACTAGCCATCCATACATCATGTTGCATTGTCACAAGCACTATGCACATACAGTTTGAAATAATACTCATGTTTCCGGGCCAAGGTGGGGGATAGGGGGAGTAGGAATCATCCATTTTACAAACAGAACATCGTAGGTACCCAAAACCCATGTGTGGTTCCCTAATTATACGGATCAATAATTATTTAAAGGCAAATTAATAATCACGTGCCAAGTAAAGTACGGAGTGCTAAGTAATCAATACTGAATACCCAACCAGATCAAAAGAATGATGATGGAATGTGCATACGCTTTGAGCAGATCAATAAATTCTTTGGGCGGTGGAGACAGGGCGCAAGAACACGACAATAACTGTTATGTTGTCTTGGCTGCCTCGTTCGGCAGCCTCAGTTGCCAATCTCTTACAACACATTCCCGCCTCTTTAACCGTGTCTCGTATTATGCCCACTACTTCCTCCTCCGTCACAACATCCCACAGCCCATCGCTACCCATTACCTGATAAACACACCATATTAGCTAGCTACATACTGACTGTATTTGAAAGCAACCCAAAGAAAGCACTTAATTGTTCATTTCATTTCAATTCTTTTGCTTTCTTGGTTTAGGAAATGGATGGTGTGGGTTTAAGCCATAAGCTTATCGACCCTAGTTAGAACATCTCGAATGTGGTTGCTAAAAAATGGGTTTCTAAATGTTATTTTAGCAATCAAATACGGAGTATCTCTCTAACCATGATATGTATATTATACCTATTTATTACGGAGAATATTTAATCTAGCAAATCCTTCCAACCATGAGACGTGTGTTTATTCTATTCATTAAATATATTTACCCATCCAAAGAGTAGTTGTTATAAATAACAAGTGTGCTTGTTAAAATGACAACTTTGGTATAGTTTACCTATTCCCTTGGATTGTCCAAAAATGAAAATAAGTTGCTAAACTTGCTATTTTTCACAGAGTATCATTGAGAAACAAGGTTGGAGATGCTATTGGTATGTAAACTTACAATGTATTCGTCGTCCCCACACAGGATAGTTTCAGAAATCTCAGGTTCAGCAGTTACAGCTGGCTTCAGATCGTCATCGCCAATAGACCGCGTGACCTGTTCAAACTCATGCGTTAAAGCACCAAACAGCTCATAATTAATTAAGGTGCACGAGTTTTATCCCATTACTTTGACGATATGCAAAATGGCCACTAACCTAGTAATTCTCTTACTTAAGTCCTGTAGTTCATAAATTTTGCTCGATTCAATGACTTTTTACGAGAGAGTACAAATCCTTGCCGAATTTTGTCCCGTGCAACTCACATGCGCACATCTTTTTATGAGAGAGTGCAGATCCTTGCCGAATTTTGTCCCGTGCAACTCATGTGCGCGCGAATTCTTGACGGGAGATTACAAATTCTCGTCAGATTTCATCCCGTGCGTTCAAATTTTATACGGAGTACAGTATTTTTGGTATTTTTATATAAATAGTTTAAGATGTTTAGTATTTAGAATTTCTTGCCGTGAAGGATCAAATTTGAGCACAAATAAGCTGCACCGGGACAAAATCTGGAAAATTTTGAATTCTATAACAAGAAAATCCTCAAATTGAGCAAAAAGATTGATTTGTGAAACTGAAACTCACAATGATCCCGTCTATGAAACCATATGGCATGCTCAAAAGTTATGGGACCCAATCTGTAACTTTCCCTTATTTAAGAAATGGCTATCAAATAATGGGAACCATCCGTTTTCATCAGGTTCATTTAAAGCAGTAAGATTGTTATTAGCAACAAACGTTAACTTACTTAACTATAACAACAACACAGTAAACATGGTGTTAACTTGCCCCACAAGTGATGTCCTGGGACCAACAAAGATTAGCTGAAAAAGAAAATATAAATGGAGTTAAGGGGCAAAAAATGAAGGTAATTAACCTGAAGAGCAGCACTCCCAACCCTCCATGTATCAACTTGCCATTTGACCTCGATCCCAGCTCTGGTGACTCGCTCCCTCTCCTCGGCACAACTTGCAACATGGTCCTACTATATTAACATTATATTAGTTCTAATCGGGTTTGAAAATGAGATGGATTAAAACTTCAAACGGATGACTATATGGCAATGGCATTATATTAGAAACTCTTGATAAATGAAATGAATTTCATCTCACCCTGCTTAATACATATGGACGTCCAGCTCGACACAAGATTGTTTTGCAATCGCCAGCATTAGCAACAACAAGCTTGTTTTTAACTATAAGTGCAACGATTGCAGTGCAACCAGGATGAAAGTCTTTTTTAATAGCTCCCTTGCATTTCTTCTGAGAACTAAGTTCGTGTCTGAATGCAATATCTGTTTGAATGAATGATTCAGTAAGGGCTTTTGACGGAAATTGAAATCTGTCTCTTGAGCCTAGAGATCTCAAAATTTCAGGTAGAGCTCCAGCTGAAAACTCAGCAGCAGCTGCACCTACACCAAAGTAATAAATAATCTCCAAAAGGAAATACTTCAATAATTGCATATCTCATATACTTAAATGAACTCATTAAGGGAGAAAATTGAAAACTTACATTCATAGGCTCATTGCTAATATATAAATGGTACCTTATTAAGTATGTGCTTCAGTAGACAAGCATGGAGAAAGCACATAATGAACATTAATATAATTAAAAAAAAATATTTGTCACCCACTCACCCTATGAGAGTTTTTGTGTTCATTACAATAAACCCCCCTAAAACTTAATGCTAGCTTGTAACTTATTCACCTCGATGACCATCTAAGATTCCAAATACATGGATGTCCTGTGCATCACACATGTTGGGAATAAGGAAGTGTCGATCCTCCATTGTTTCTCTTCTCCCACAACTTGCAAAGGAACCCCACGATAGTGCTGGAGAATATACTGAAGGATCATCAGGAGAATCATCCCACATGCCCACACAAGAATTAGGATTGAGAGAAATTTTTTTTGCGAGATCTTCACCCTGAGTAGACCAATTAATACTCTCATGATAACCTTGTGTAATAGAATGTTTGTCTGATGCCTTTTCACCTTTCATGAGTTCACTTTCAAGTTCCATGATGGAATCAAGTTCTATTATGATATCATCAAATGAGGGCCTACTTTGGGGATCTGCATCCCAGCACCTACTTATTAAGGAAACTAAACTCACAGGTACATTCAAATTTGGACCAGCAAGAAGAGGTCGCAAACTTTCAGATACCACAGCTGCAGTAAGTTGTTGCTCTGTGTAGTTCATCTCAAGCACAGTATGAGCCTGCCAATAAGTACCCCTTTTTGGGTAAGCAACGAGAACAAGTATGATTGTAACAACCAAGACAAACTCACAGAAACTGTCTTCTATCTATTTTAGATATGCAAGATCAAATTATTGAAAAAATGGTATATGGATAATGGATGGGCTGGTAGTAATCTACATATAGTTGCCATGAAATATTTAGCTATTTCCTGGTTTGCTAGAGTTTTTACCATGATTTAATATGCTTTTGGACATTGTTAGAGTAAACCAATTATATGTTAATGACTCATTAGATTATATATTATAACGGACCTTCCAAAATAAGTCAATGGTTATTTTTTTATAAGGCATTTTTTTCTATAAAACAATAACTATTTTTTTCATTGTTTGTACCTAAAAGACAATTCATTTCATAGGAATGATAAAATAGGATAGCAATGGAATCGCATATTGTTTTTGTTGGATCTCAATTAACATTATTCCTTGAATCACGTAAAATGGCAAATTGTGCCTAGCAGGGGCAAGGTCTGCGTACACACACCCTCCCCAGACCCTACTGTAGTGGGATCCAACTGGGTTGTTGTTGTTTGTTTGTTTGTGCCTAGCAATAATATGAAGATGGAGCAATGAATATTATATTCAATGTTTTAAACTTTCACCCCAATGGTTAAACCGTTGAGAAAAAGAATTTCCAGACCCATTGATCTTATTTACTGGATTTCCAAGAAAAGGGCATCCATATTCCTAGAGTGCTGAAGCATAAAAAAGAAGGGTAAGACTTGCACACGAAAAGTAAAGAATGCTTATTACCGACATGAAATGTTAGAAAAACTAAAGATCCTCCAAATGTGAAGTTCGACAAAAGAAAAAACCAACCTGTGCCTCTGTACGCAGATCAGTGTATGGGACAACACCTGTTAGAAGCTCACTGCAGCATATTGGAAAAACATTGTTCTCATAGGAACTCAAGAAATATAATATTCAAACCAACATTTATGCTAGGCACTTGGACAGACTAACTCACCTACTAGCTACCAATTGAAATGACCAAACATGTCAATTTTACTCAAATGAGGTGTACGTGAATCAAATCCCTTAAACATAATAACATACAAAAAAAGAATCTATTCCAATGATCACGCTGCAAAAACAGAAGGAAAGTAACAAAGAACTATACAGGTATCATGATGTTCATAACGAGCTATAAACTACCAGCCCAAAAGTCTGTATGTTTAATAAATGGATAAAAAGTGATTGAAATGTCATTCGATGACATAGTATGTTAATCTTTCTGTTTTTTTAAATCTTAAATATATATTAAGATAAAGATTAAGTTATCCACAACCCTGTATTCAAACAAACCGTATTTGATTGTATGTGGATCAAACAAACAGTTTCGTATGGCATGCATTCACATCCTTCTTTTTCAAGGATAGCAAAGCACAAAGCAGTATGGTAAAGTTCGTACTTGACTGAAATTCCGAAACTGTACACGTCAGATTCTTCTGTAGGTATATCTTTCCTTAGTACTTCTGGTGCCATGTAAATAAGTGTGCCAACCATATTCCTCTTGTGGAACCCACCAGTTGGCTTGCCAGTTGACGTCCAGTTTTGAGTGCAAACATGTTTAAGATTTGTCTTGTACTCTGCCAAACCAAAGTCAGCTAGATGTGGTTGAAGGTTTCCGTCAAGCTGAATAACAGCAAAGTGTATGTTACAATGCAACAATGGCTTAGTATGTAAAACTTATTAATACTCTATTCCTTCTCAAACTAGTTTCATTAAGGTTTCTTCACACATAATAACAAGTAAGCATCGGCTTTTCCAAAATTATTAAAATAAATAAAGAAATGAGTTTTATCTCTTTAACTTTTAATGACATTTTAGTGTGAAGAAAAAAGTCAATGCTTAAATAGCATTTTCTAAAACAAAACATATACTCCGTATTATTAGGATACAATTATTTCCCCAAGATGACAGTTTATTAGAGAATTGAGTAGTTACAAGCAAACAAGATATTTAAGTGACATAACCCAGCAACTTTATTATAATCTTGAATGGAATGAGCGAGGACCATAAAAATGACATTACTAGAACATTTGCTGGCTTTACGTCTCTGTGCACAATCCCAAGTGTGTGCAGATATTGGAGAGCCTTTGCTGCAAAGAAATCACAACCTCATCAAATTCGGTCATCCACGTAAACTCTCCACTTTTAACAAATGCATTCTCACTTTACCATCCCTTCATATGCATACATCATCTGCATTATTTTCATCAAGGAAAATACGCACCATTGCAGTAAACTCTAAATTAGCAGTAGAAAATGAGGTTCACCTAGTTTAGACGACACATCGAGCACCTTGTGAGTGCTAGGACTCCATTGCTCAACGTGCAGCTGAGCAGCTAGATTTCCAAACTCGTAGAACTCAAAGAAAAACATATAGTTTGGAGGCCTAGCATGTGCAGCAACCAGCTTTGCAACTCCTGGATGGTCCAGCTTGCTAGTTTTTATTAGCATAATAAGTTTTCATTAACCAGGAAGGAAACTACAAAGTGATGCGGATAAATAATAAACACACTAGCAAAAGTGAAGACTATGCGTAAAGATGAGGAAGAAGATAGAGGATGAAAACCAGAGCAACTGCAACTCCTTGTGGAATTTATCCAAATCATCGGAAGTGGCCAGAATGGGCTTTTTCACGGCGACTTTCCGGCCTCTGAGGATTGCTTCGTACACCACACTCTCCGAACCTAGAAACCAAACAAAACAAATAGAACAACGCATCAGTTTAGGAATTAGGGAAAATGGACCCAAAAGCGGAGAAGCAATTCGCATATGGATTGGAAACCTCTGGCAATCGGAAGTGAGAGAGAGTAAGAGGAGGGAGGGAGGTGCAGAGGGATCGTTCGGCTGCGACAACAGCCGCGAATGCAAGCGTTTGGTTCGGCGATTTCATTGGCCATTATCTCTTTCTCTCGACCAGAATAGGAATTGATATCAGACGACGACCATATAGCATCATCGTCTCTGGTCGCCCCTTCCATATCAGTGCTAGCATCTCTTTTCACTCACATTCATTACTATTGTCAAAAGTCTTAACTTTTTTTTTAATCAATTCTTTATAATTAAATAAAATATATAGCAAACGCTTCAATTTCCGCTGGTACGTGAACTGCTTAAATTATACTCCCTCCAGTCCCAGAGTATTTGTCCACTTTCATTTTTACACACCATCTAATACACTTCTTTAATTCATTTTATCTTGTAATTTGTATATTAAAAAATTATAGAAATTATATATTAATAATCTATATGTTAAAGACAAATCAAACAAGATCACACATGACTATATTTAGGCTTACACATTGAGAGAGAATTTGATGAGTCAAAGTGTTTAGATGAACAGTTCCAAAAGTCAAAAGTGCACGAATATAGCGGGACGGATGGAGTATCATATATATTGTGTAAGTAAATCATTAAATTTTATAACTATTATCCTTCAGAGACCTGAGGTTGTCGGTGTAGACCATAATGGCAGAGGGAAATCATTTACATCCTTGCTTGCGGAGGTTATTCAAAGTAGTTCTCATTTTAGTAAGTCCTAAATTGACCCATTTGTGTTTTTAATTTGTATGCACCAAGTAATAGCATGTTACTGCTATTATATTTGTAGGTGGTAAGGATGATGAGCATTCTTAAATTAGACAGACCTTGTCTCCATGTAAGAAATGGTAAGCAGTTTAACACACCCCACCCCCTTCTGCATTCTTACTCATACTTGATATTAATAAATACCCTTGGGCAATAAGCTCTTAATCCTATGTTGCACCACTTTGCTGCTTTGGTGCCGTTTGCAGGGTGCTATTTGAAGCGGCAGGAGACGAATGGGAAGCACTCAGGTCCTGTTCGGCACTCACCTGTAGCGACACAGAAGGGATATACATTCTTATGTGTGAGACCATCTCCAACCATAGCAAAATAACTTGCTATATGTTATAATTTGACAATCATATACATAATTTGACTAGCTTGCTAAAAAATGAAAACACATTGCTATTTATAACAAGCATGCTAGAATATAGCTAAACAAAAATTAAGGTAAATTTCTTTTACAATGATATATACTGCACAAATTAAATACTCCGTATAACATTTTTTTTTTGTTTTTTCAATGTGAATGTGATTTTTACCGTAGGAAGAGTTCTTTGGTTTATTTTATTTTAAATAGAAATATTTTATTTAATATTTTTTAATTACATACTATTAGAATATAAATAACTTTTTCTAGACATAACCACAAGTTTGAGCTTTTGGTTGAATCGGTTCTTTGACACATACTCCATATTTATTACTTTTTTTTTTACGTTTACAGGAATAAATACAATTCAAGAATTATTGTATTTGGTGTATTATACTCCCTCTGTCCCATTTTAAATTACATGTTTGTCTTTTTTCTCCGTCCCAAAATAAGTTGCCTGTTAGTTGTTTTCGTAAACTTTTAAAAACAAAATACCTAAACTACCCCTAAAATAAGTCACTCTTCTCCACTTTATCTTCCATTTATCATCACCCCTCTTAAAAAGTAATGTCAATTTCGGAAAATCAACTCCAATTTTTATTTTCCTTAAATGATCCCAAAAGTCAAAACAGGCGATTTAAATTGGGACGGAGGGAGTAATGGTTATTGGAACAAAATATATTTGTTACTTACTCCCTCCGTCCAAAAAAGAATTACCCATTTACTATTACGGCCTCTCGATAACTCTTATTTATTTGTGTATTTTCATTGATTATTTGATAAAATAAATTTTTGTCAGCTCTTATTTTGTAAATTTTTTGATGTAGTTTTTTAAATATAATTTTTTATTTTGTATTTTATTTAACAATTTATAAATAAAATCATTTTAAAATCATGGAGTTTTGCACGTTGATCAAAAATGAGTAAAACATTATTAGAAGGAGAGAGCATAATATAACAAGTCATGGTTGGAGAAGGGAGCAAAAAGTGACTTGTTATACTACTATTTATTAGCTAAAAAAAAGCAATATCAAGCCACATATACCAAGCCCCTTTGGAGATGCTCTGACAGTTGATGTGTGGTTTAAAGTTTTATTACACTTTACACTTCAATTTTTAACTTTTTAAATTATAACTTATGCGGAGTAAATTGATTGATAATCAAAGTTTATCTAGTCTGACTTCAAAAGGTCAGTTTAGACGAATAGTAACTTTTATTTCCATACCAAATTCTGAATAAAGTATATACAAGAGATTTTTTATTTCACCTGTTAAAAAAAGTGAAATCAATTATGTGAAGAAAGAATATGAGTAGGCAATGAAAGAACGAAACAATAAAAAGAAAAACAAAAACGAAACGTACAAAAAAAAATGAAAGCACTATAGAAAGAACTACATGGGGTCTTGTGACCCCGTGTGACTCTACGTGGGTCTGCCCATGTTTGCAATATAGAAAGCACTACTAATCCAAGATGAAAAACTAATATGGACTCCTAACCAGATCAATTTAGACTGCAAAGAACTATCTAGCTTATTCTATGGATTGCAGCAGTGTGATTGATTTTTGGGGTTGACATACAATCAAACACACAATACGACATCAAATGTGGTTGAACCTATATAATTCGTTGTTTGTATTTACACTTAACATTAAGCACCAACCATATATGCCTTACTTTTTAGCATAGGAAAGGGAAAACGTAAATGAATCATTGAAATCCCATGAGGTTAACATTCTAAACTATACGTAGTACAATTTATTCTAACAATAACCAATAGAAACTAATAATCTAGCATATAATAAAGATATTAGAAAGAATACAAATATCCAATCACTCTAATATTTCATAAACGACTAAATTTTAGTTCACCATTTGTAATTGATACCCCCTGGAAAAAATAACAAAGTTTATGATTGTTCAATGGAAAAGAAAGCACTAAAACTACTAATATCAAGTTCACTATAGTGTGATTTTCACAAGCTTCTTGTTTTCTCTATCTAGACTCTCCCAATTCCGCATTGAAAGTGCTATAACTTGATCAAATCTATTGCAAGGCGCATCCTTGATTCTCTGTTCACCTTAAAAACTAATGAAAAGTATTCACGAACAAAAAAAAAATCATTACTGGAAAAATCTTCTCATTTTAGAAATTAGATTTCTTATATTCTAATTTAAGGGATCTCAACCCTGTATGTTATATGCTTCATCCCATATACATTCCCTCATCCAAGTTGCCACCCAAATTCCACAATCATTACTAAATCAACATATTAAAAGATAAATATTATGTATAGATTTTATTAAATTAAAGAACATAAATGAGATTTAAGACAAGTTCACTTACGAGCCTGGTGCTTGTTGACCTATACTTTTTGGCTCCACAATAGCAAATTCTGATACTTTTGGTTTCTCGGTGACACTGTGCTGGTGGTAAAAAGATTTATCCTCCAACATTTGATCCATAAATATTGCCTAAACACATTATTTAAATTATTAAATGTTGATTGAAAACTGAAATTAGAGGTCATTATTATGCGTATACAGTTTTTTTCATTACCAGTAGGCGTACAATCCTCTTCCTTTCGTTGAATGTCGATGGGCTTTTTAAAGAATCTAACAAAGTTAGTTCTTTTCTTATAATATCAACGACGAGGAGAAACCAGTGAAGCTTTCCATCATTAATAGGTACAAATATCTACATAAACATTGCATTTTTAACATCAATTTTAAAGTTTCTTTTAATAATAGTAATAATAATAAAAATTACTAGTAGTAATAATAATTGAGCACAATAGTCGATTCATGAGTTGAAATTGTTACCTTTCTCAATCCATCAACTTTGCCAAAAAAAGTATCCTTTAAAATTTCTCTGACCCTATCCGGAGAACGAGTCCAGCTAAGAACGAATTGCTGGCATCATAGAATCATGAAAATATATATTATTTTTTTTATTTAGGAATTAGATTAGACAAGAGAGGCTTTTGGGATGTGTTACCGCGAAGACCGGTGGTAAGAACCAACACCTTGTTTCTTGTTGTTGAAAGGAAAGCATGCAAGCAACCAAAGACATTACCTGCGTATTTAAGAACAGCTTTTGGTATGCGCATTTAGTAACATACGAAATAAAAACAAGAATATAATCACTTACCTCTCCATCTATCATTTCGTTGGGGATAAGAGATCTAAGTGCTTCCCTTTTTCCCGTCATGTAATTTGTGTCAATCAGGATCTCTTCCCTAGGGACATTACATTTATACAGGGTTACGTGAAGCAGTCTTAAACATTGTACCATTAAAGCGTAATACGAATTTATATGAGTGTTCAGAACTTGTACCTATCAAAATCCTTATTGCGGCCAAAAACATATGCAACAATTCCAGCTTCCACTTCATTTAAAATCATCCTTGTCGGAGGCCTGAAAAGAATTGGTATCCACTACAAGAAAACTAGTTATAACGCAAGTTCTCTAAGGTCATTGAGATTAGCTAAGCAATACTGTTAAGTGAGAAATATCTAACGTTCGACTATGCATATAGATAAACTCACTAGCTCATAATTTCATACAATATCATCATGTACACAAGTACAACATTAACAATATCACAAAACAATAATCAAATGAATTCATAAGTCTCAAATCATTATCCTAATCCATCCTTACTAGTTGCTCATAACTCATATTTTAGGCTAAGGCCAACACATCCTTATTCACAAACCATATCTTAGGACTTAGAGTCACTACCTACAGCCATGTCTCAAATTTACTTTAGTTAACACATTACAATACAACACGACTTGGCCAACAAAGGAGTTCTCCGTTGGGTGCATGGATGGTATCCATGTCCCTTTCACAATGATAGTTTGTTTATCTTGTAGGTACGTTTTAACCCTGCGCCATAAGATATCAGATTCGTAAGGCTGATTCTACTTATTGACATTTACATTTACAATCACACTAGAGCAGTCCTAAAGTTCTTCTAGGTAACCTAACCATTTATTTATAACAAGTCTTCCCCTTCAGAATTATTCCAACAACAATTTCAGTTTACTATATTACTTCAAGATATATCTCAATTACATTTAAAATATAATAGGGGGTGGGTAACAATACTCAAATAATCATCTTCAAATACAAATAGCAGTCTACACTTACCATTATGCGACACACAAGTCTTGGAATACATCCCTAACATTTAAATGAAGCATAAAAATTTTGGATAGTACTTGTCAGATGGTAACGATAGCAGACTATTATTCGATGGTAACGATAGCAGACTATTATTCAATCCCCAAATAAAATTTCTTTTTATTATTCCCTTCGTAGCAAAACAAGATTTTAAGTGACTATTCATAAGTCAAACTAAGGCTGCGTTTCATTCACCTAATCTAATCTAATTTTTTGAAGATGTGATTTGGTTGATTTGATTTGATTGCAGTTATAAATAAAGTTATTTCCGATCTGATCTGATCTAGTCTGATCTGATTATAATAAGAATAAGTAATAAGATCAGATCAGACCAGATAAGATTAGGGGCCTGTTTGGGAACAACGTTAGAATTTAGAGTTAGAGTTTAGTGTTAGAGTTTAGAGTTAGAGTTTAGCTGTTTGCATCAGAGATGGTGATTAGCGTTTTGATCTTTTACCGTTTGATAATTGAACATTTTAAAAAGCTAATAAATTGCAAATTACTAAAATATCCATTTAGACCTGACCGCATATGGCTTCTTTATACCCCTCTAACCCTCTTCCAAATAGCCAATTCATCTTCTTCCTCGCCAAAAATAAACTACAGAGTACTTATAAAATTTAGGGTGTATGTGAAATAAAATTAAAATTAAACACATGATTCCTTTATCATACCTGATTCCCAAATGCAAAAAATAATAAGAATAAAAGAATTACTGGGGGCTTAATAATGAGGTTGAAATTAACAAAAAAAATAATAACAAAATAATTAGTAGTAACAAAGAAGTTAAATTTTATAAAATTGCAGACAGGCATAAAAGCCAATGAATAATAAAAGATATGGATCGGAGTACTAATTTTAGTAAGCCCGAAAGAATTTGAATTTCTTACTTGCCCAGATTCTTCCTCGAGGAACAACTCTTAAGCACAAGAAAATACTCTGTAAACCCTAGTTTTCCAGGGATCAACCATGGCTTATATAAGGAGATACAAATAAGCACGGAGCCATGGAGAAGCTAATAGGCGCTACATTTTTATGGGCATAATTGGAATATTTTCCCAAAACTCTAAATTTATTTCTTGAACGCTCAAAGGGGGGAGCTTCTTGCGTTTAGCCGCGAGGAAAAATAGGCGACCAAAATCTAGGTAAAACGCAAGTGTTATTTTTTTTTTTTTTTTTGAAAGTAACGCAAGTGTTATTTAACGCAAAACAAACACTTAATTATTAGTGATTAGCGTTTTCTTTCCAAATAGCTAATCCCAAACAAGGCCTAGATCAGACCAGATGAGATCAGAAACAATTTTAATTTTAATTGTAATTAGATCAGATCAAATCAGATCAGATCAGGCAAACGAAATGGAGTCTTAGTTGTTATACTGCCATACGTATCATACATTCGTATCATATATAGAAGAAAAGGAAAAAAACATTTATTTATTAAAGTCATACAAAGGTTTTTTAGTACAATTAACTCTATAGAATGTAATATCACTTCAAGTCTTCATGCATATTTTGTCAACCTAAATATGGAGTAACAAAGACCACCCTTATTAAAGTCGAACCTGTAACTCTTATTCCATCCCTCAAATTAAAAAAATAATAATATTAGATATTGATATAAAATAATTTTATTAAATTTATTATATCAAACATTTTCAAAATATTTTTTATGTAATTAATATACAATATATATTTTATTTAATTATCGATCAAATATTAAAAATATTTGACCAAAAAATATTAAAACTTGACAAATATTTAGGAAAGGACGAGATAATATTTGGGAAGTATGACACCGCTGGAGATTGAAATCATTTGCTACGCGTGCATCAGTTAGGTCGCTGGTTTTTATATTCTATTCCAATTCAAAAATATAACTTTCAATTCTTGTTCATATTCCAAGTTCTATCATGATCCCTCAAAGACATCCAACCAAAAAGTAGTGGCCGAAGTTGAATAAGACTCGTCGGTTGATCTTTTCCTTTTTAGGAGTACACCAAAATTTATTGCTCTTTCCTTTAACAATTCATTTAGATAAAACTATGGTTTACAAATAACATTTTAATTTAACATTAATGATACACATGCTAACAAAGACAACAATTATAGATTGTTAAATATTGGGCAACAAATTCATAGTGTCAGCATATTACAACATTTATGATCTGTTGCCTAGGAAAAACGGTTGCCTTAGGTGCATCTAGGCTTATTTTTATAAACTGTTGCCTTTTGTATCAAAACTGTTGACTTAAGAAAAGACAACAAGGGCAAATGCAACACTCAATTTTTGTTGCCTTAGATGTAAGGCAACGGTTTTTTCATTTTCAGCAATAGTTTTTAATTGTTAGCTTAGACTATTTTTCTTGTAGTGACATTTTGCATGAAATTTTAATGGTTTAGATTAATTTTGAAAATAAAGGACCAAAATGTCAAAATGATGTGGTTCAAAAATGTGAAATTTGCACTAAATAAGACTAAAACATAATGACTTTCTTAATGTAGGACTTAAACTTTTTTATTCCCTAAATATGACTTAATAATGACCTAGTGGGAGGAATAATGTCAGTAATGCTAGACATTTACTTGAATAATGACTACTTGATAATGACCAAAAGTCCTACATTGGAAAATAAAAACATATGGTCCTATATTGAGAAAGTCATTATGTTTTAATCCTATTTAGGTAAATTTCTCTTCAAAAATCTCTCTCTACACCATCCAACTACATTACTACATCATCCCTTTTATTTTTTAATAACGTTTATTTATTTAACTCTTTAAAGTTAAAATGAGACAATTTCTACAAGAGGAAGGGAATAAATACTCCATGCCACCTAACACACGAGACATATAGAAACATCCCACATTAAAAATGCATTGAACCCAAAAGTGACCGTATCGATCGATGTCTGTAACGAGAGCGGCATGCATCACATGACATAGGGAACACGTTTGTACAAGTGTGCGGCAGGGAGCCTGGGAGTGGCAACGGCTTGCAATGGAGTCTTCATGTAGGTCACCATCCCCGGGCTCTCCGCCATGTCGATCTCCCCGGCCTTCACTCCCCGTGGCGGCGACCATGCGAAATGGTGGAGCAGGTGTCCCAACATTGACGTCACCAAGTTGATGGCAAGTTGGGCCCCGGGGCACACGCGCCTCCCGGCCCCAAACGGGAGGAGATGGTAGTCGTGCCCCTTCATGTCGACGTCCTCCTCGAGGAACCGTTCGGGGCGGAACTCGTGCGGGTCCCGCCACACGGAAGGGTCCCGGGCGACGGCCCACACGTTCACGTGCACGATGGAGCCCTTGGGGATGTCGTACCCGCCGAGCTTGACGTGCGCGCTGGCCTTGTGTGGGAGCATTAGTGGTGTTGGTGGGTGTAGCCTGAGCGCTTCCTTGGCCACACACTGAAGGTACGGGAGGTTGGAGAAGTCGGACTCGGTCATGATACGGTCGTGCCCGAGGACTCGGTCCAGCTCTTCCTGAGCCTTTTGTTGCACCCTTGGGTTCTTCACCAGCTCCGCCATCGCCCATTCCGCCGATATGGTTGTGGTGTCCATTCCCGCGGTGATCATGTCCTGCACAATTGCACTCCCAATAAGTTCAGTCTTGTGGTTGTAAACTCGGAAAAAAGTTTTATTACGGATTATTATATACAGAGTACTTCTGAACCAATGTCATCCTATGACACGAGCCCTAATTAAGGCTTCTGCGGTGCTCCGTTCGATAAATTGATAGTTTCTATCTCTAACCTCTCCTTCTGCTCCTGCCTCCCTCCACTCCTTCCCCCTATGACTACAGGTGGGCTGAGGGGTTTAGAAAGGATTAAGGGTAAGAACCATCAATTTTTTGAACTAAACACCATGGGAGCCCCATGTTACTATCAATGTCATGTGAACCGCCCCTACTTAATCTCGTAAATAGCAATTTAATTTGAAGTAGCAAATAATTACCCAAAGAAGACCGATGACGGTGTCATCGGTGAGATCATACTGCTTCTGAAGAGTGAGCAAGGCGTCGACGAAATGCTGCTTAGTGTCGCCGGTGGTCTTGCGGGCAAGGGTGTGCTCCTCCATGATCCTCCGGGTGAGGCGGTCCCGGCGTGAAGCTTGGCTCTGCAAAGCCTCGTCGTCGACCCTAAAGGCCCAGCGAAGCCACGGCACGTATTCTCCCATAGGAAGCTTGGCCCCAATCTTGATCCCGTTCGAGACAATGCCCTTGAATTCTTTCCCCTGTTCGTCCACCTCTCCCTCCGCGCTCATGAACCTCTTCCCGAATGTCAACCTCGTTATGTTGTTGAATGCAACCGCCCCCAAGTAATCCCTCATCAACATGCTTTCACCGCTTTTACCTGCGTTGAAACAAACAACAATTCATTCACTTAAAAATCGTGAATTCCATTTTCTATTCGGAAAATTTACCATGTAGTAAAACATAGTTACTTTCTCAATGTAGTATCATACGGAGTATTCATTTATTTTCTAATGTAATACCACTATTCAATGTCCATGGGTCATTGTTCAAGTAAATATTCACCGCCACTCGACATTCTTCAAACTAAATGTCCACCATCACTGAACATTGTTCCGCCACTAGACATTATTCAAATGCTATTTAGGGAATAAAAAGTTTACGTACTATATTGGAAAATGACATACTCCCTCCGTCCGAATTTAACTCGCCTGTTTTGACTTTTGGGCATATTTAAGGAAAATAAAAAATAGAGTTGATTTTTCGAAATTGACATTACTTTTTAAGAGGGGTGATGATGAATGAGAAGATAAGGTGAAGAAGTGTGACTTAATTTAAAGGTAGTTTAGGTATTTTATTTTTAAAAGTTTACAAAAACAACTAACAGGCAACTCATTTTGGGACGGAGAGAAAAGGCAAACATGCAATTTAAAATGGGACGGAGGGAGTATGTTTTAGTACTCCCTCCGTTCCCTAAACCCATTCCCATTTTGACTTTGGACCAAAATAAGGAGAGTGTAATTTTGGTTGACTTTCCGATTTTGCCTCTGATGTGATGGATAAAAGTAAGATGTGATAGTTTGGTTATTAGTGAAAAAGTATGATGTGATAGGTAGGGTAGGAAAAAAATAGGGGTAAAAGTAATTTTTTAATAGAAAATGAAAGTATTTTAGAGAATTGGAAAAAACGAAAGAGGAATGATTTTTTATTTGATGAAAGTTTCATACTCCGTATTTTATTTTACGTGGGAATTCTTTAATTAACAAGTGCATTTAAAGTATTGTGGGCCCGGGGGCATTTCTTTCCAACTTCACCTACTACCTGGGTTCCACCTCCTTTACCAACCAATCTACTCCAATAATAAAACAAATACTCTTTTCACCTTCTAAAAAGAGTCTTTTTCTCAAAATATTTTTGTTTTTAAAAAAAAATTCAATTTTAGAATAAAACATGAAGGATATTAGTTTTGTCTTATCATATGTTTTCAAGTAAAAAAAAAATGTCAAACGAGTGAAATGCGAGTATGCTAAACTTAGTTAAACTAACAAATAAATTTGAAAATACAAACACACCGATTCATCCATTCCTCCTGAAATAAACTTCAGGATAATCTAAGAGAAGACAAATTCTTTGGTAGACTGAGAATACATGGACCTTCTTGATACTTGTATTAAAAAAAATCATGTACGTGAGTATTTAATAGATTTTTTTTTTACAATTTGCTCGTGTGAGGTCTATTGATTGGAATATTGACCCAAAGTACATGGTAGAAAAAGTCATAAGAAAAGTGCTAGAAAAGTATTTTAAAAAATTGGAAAAGTAAAAAAAAGTAGAGTATAGCTCTGTTGCATAGACCTTATCTAATTGAATCTCATTACAATTTTTGAAACTCTGATATGATGTGATTGGATCTGATCAGATCTGATTGGATTTGATTTGGTTAGATATGATCTGATGAAATCTAATACGGAGTATGATCTGATTAGATCTGATCTGGTGTAATTGAATTTAAATTTAATTTAAACTAAATCTATAATTATTACAAGAAATTTAATAATTTTAAAGTATTAGAATTCATATATACATAGAAAAAAGTAAAATAAGAAAATCATTCACAATAACTAATCATTAATATATTTAAACATTTTCTTTAAAATATTAAATATCTTTTCAATATCACTACTATAAACAAGTATTTTAAAACAACTCTTTTAAAATATGAAAAATATAATTTTTTAAGTCCTAATATTGCTCACATGCATCAATCCTACAAGCTAAGCAATTACTAGTAATAATGGTTTGTAGTTGATAATAATAATGGTTTGTAGTTAATAATAATTATAACTATAATTATAATTATATTTATAATAAACATATTTAAAGTATGTTTGTATTTTCAATAATACTCTTCTATTTTATCACAAATCTACTTTTTTTAATACTTTTTTAATAATAAAAGGAGATTTAAAAGTTAATAGTATGTGCATTTTTGAAAATTTTGCATTTTTTTACTTTTCCTTAATAAGCGTGCGAAGTCAACACGGGAAGAACATTTCCGGACGGAGGGAGTATTAATTAAAGTAATGTCTTTTTGTAGTTTCACATAGCTCGTTTAGTTTAATCATTTTGGTTGCTTGTATTGTCTTTTTGTTTGTAGTAGTTTCCATATCTTGGATTCCTTTAATTTCGCCATTTTGGTTGCTTGTACATCATTTTGGATGCAATTCTATTTGAATATTGTTCCTTTCAATTCCCTTTGTCCCAAATTTATTTAGGCTTTTTGTTTGAATATTGTTCCTTTCTATTCCCTTCGTCCCAAATTTATTTACGCTTTTCGAACAATGCGTAAAATTTCACCTTTTTTAATACTTAAAAAGGGTACAAATTAGATATTTAAAAACTATTCCCCCATATCCCAAATTAAGTTGTATGTTTACTATTTACTGAGTCAAACTTCATTCTTTTTTTTTTCTATTGTCGTTAATGATTTGATAAAATAATATAGTCATATCACCTCCACCTCATGTTTATATAAATTTTGATGTACTTCTAAAAATGTAATTTTTTTAAATTTTATCTCAATTCTTAAATAAATTGTATTGAAAATCACTTCAATCAAACATCGTAAACTGAAATAAACCATTTAAATTGGACGGAGAAAATATATTAAAAGTTCTACAAAATGATGCGACAATAATATTTTATTGTGTCAAAGTTATCGAGAAACTCAAAAAGGAAAAGTGTTAACCATTTTGAAATGGAAAGAGTAATATGCAAATTGCAATGCAATTTAGACTTGAAAAATAATTTTGTAATAAAAGGCCAATTCTTGCTTATACTTATTTCTGGATCTTAATAAAAAAAATTACGAGTGATAAGTATCAGGCCTTGTATCTCATCAAACAAGGCCAAAATTGATGAAGACAATGAAGATGAAGGGAACCAGACAGACGTACCGGGCTTAGTGCAGTCCCTGAAGATGCTCTCAACCATGGCGGTGACTTCATCTTCTCTAATCGGCCGAAGAGACTCGAGTCTCTTGGGAGTGAAGAGCTCCAGATTGCAGAGCTTTCTGACCTTCACGTAGTGCGGGCCGTAATCGGCCCAGATCAAATCCACGCCGTTCCGGCTCAGATTCGAGGCGGATCTGGTCCTGAACCGGTCCGCCAGGCTCTGGTCGTTCTCCTTCAGCACCTCCTTCGCGAGCTCCGCTGTGGTGACGACGACGTTGAGCTGGGATCCGAAGTAGAGGGAGAATATGGGCCCGAACTCCTCGGCCCACTCCGCGAAGTGACGGAACCTCACCGGCTTTATGTCGTACAGGTTTCCGACGACCGGGAGGGGACGAGGGCCCGGCGGGAGCTTGAATCGGAGCCTGTAGGAGAGTTTGTAGGCGACGAGGATGAGGAATACCGGGAGGAGGAGGAGGAGAGGGAGAGACATGGCGGCGGTGGGCCGGTGATTGAGGCGTGAAATGTGTTTTGGTATGAAAGTTCTCCGTCAGTCCCCGTCGAATATAAAAAAAAAATGCAACAGCAGTTTGGTGATATAGTCGTTGAGGTCAAATAAAAGTGGTTGGAGATGGATTGGGTGGGACCCGCTACTCGAATTTAATTAATAAATGATGCAAGAGTTACAAATAATTAATTCACAAAATTAATAAATTTTTATTTTTTATATTTCAATAGTTATAAGATGTACTTAAATAATAAAATATATTTTCATTGAAATGCACAAAAGCCAATTTGTAAAGTTTGTAAAATATTTGTTTGTGACTAGCATTTTTGTTAATTGATTGTTTTTCTCGACTTATTTTTATTGTACTCCCTCCGTTCAAAAATAAAGTACTCGTTGCGTGTTATGGTCTTTGAATAAAGTTATTTTTAAATTATTTTATATGAAAAAGGGTATGGATTAAAAAAAATAAAAATTACTCCCTCCGTCCCGCTATATTCGTCCACTTTTGACTTTTGGAACTGTTCATCTAAGCACCATGACTCATCAAATTCTCTCAATGTGTAAGCCTAAATATAATCATGTGTGATCTTGTTTGATTTGTCTTAACATATAGATTATTAATATATAATTTCTATAATTTTTTAATATACAAATTACAAGATAAAATGGATTAAATAAGTGTATTGGATGATGTGTAAAAATGAAAGTGGACAAATTTTAAAATTACATGAAAAGATCTACAAAACTACAAAACTAGAGGTGACATGATTATATTATTTTATAAAATATGATACGAAAATATATCAATAAAGTGAATAAAGTTTGACCATGTAAATAGTAAACGGGAACTTATTGTTAGACGGAGGGAGTATACTTCATCGCTTTTAAACTTATTTTGTCGTTCGTTATTTATTGGACCAATTTTTTTCACTTTATTAGTTTAATACTTTAATTTCATTACTCAGTCGATGAAATAAAATTGTTATATCACCTCTAATTACACGTAGGTGTTAGATATTTCTAGTGTTATATACTTCGTCCCTTTTCGATCAGAACCAATGTTTTGAAAACCGGACCGAACATCGAACCGGCAAAGAGAGTGAGTCGAGGGTCAATCGGTTGAGCCGGGTTGAACCTGGTCAACGACCCGGTCAACGAACCTATAATAACTATTTCTCCAAAAGTTTTATATACTCCGCATGACTTACCGTTTCAAACTTATATTTAGTTGGTTAAAATATGAAAAAAATAAAGTAAAGATATATTGTAGCATATTTATTTACAATTAATAAATACTCTGTATTATTTAATTTTTAATAATGATAATAGTTTTTAGATGAATTATTCATATTTATATTTACATAAAAAATCTTTTGTAGTTTAAATTATTTTTATAGTTTGTAAAGGAAATTTAAATTACATAAGTTTGACTTTCTTTCTTAAAAAATTGAAGGTTTTTTCAAATAATTAGTATGGACAAGGCCCATATATTAAAGTTAGTATATAAAAACACTGTACATGGATTAAAACCAAAAGTTGAATTGCGTAGCTGGTCCTTCAATGCCGGAGTGGACTTGCGTGCCTGGGTTCGATTCTCCTTGCGGTCATTAAAATTTTAACTAAAATATGGGAAAAGCTTTTGACCCGTGAACCGTATGGGTCGATCCGGGTCAAGCGGGTCACCGGGTCATACGGGTTTTCCCGGTTTTTTATAAAACTGGGTTTAAGGTTAAACCGGACCGGACAAACAGCTGGGTCGCGGTCGGACCGGGTGGACCGGCCGGTCCGGTCCGAGCTTAAAAACATTGATCAGAACGGGAGCCGCCACCTTCTCTTCTTCTTTGATCGGACAAAGGAGCAACGAAGAGTTGCCAGCGGAACCTCAATCGACGTCCCTGGCTCCCTGCCACCACGACACCTCCGGCAGCCGACCCTAGTACCGAAGCGCCGACGAGCCCCCTTGTCTCTGCGACCGGCAATGACGTGGACGAGGGCAGCAAGCTTTGGCAACTACCTCTATTCCAGCGAAGTCCAACTGCGACAAACCAACAAGTTCCGGCGATGGACTCGAGCAGAAGAAGTGTCGCCCTTCAGGCTTCTTCGATGGATGACAGACGACGGCGGTGACGAGGTTGAGACCAGCGGCTTCTCTGGCGATGGCTTGCACGGTGGTCAGATTCAGGCGACCTCCGGGCAACAACGTTAGATTTGGGCAGCGGTGGTAGTGTCCGGGGAGCAAGAGATAGGACTCAAACATTGACGTTAGGGCTTCGGTGATCCTTGGATGATGGCAAGTACGACCGGACGATGGCTTCGGGATGACGACGGTCCTGTTCGAACAAAGTTTCTTTGAATTGAATCGAATCCAATTGAGATGAGTACGTGGACATCTAACACTAGAATATGTATCTAGGTTTGAAATTCCATTCATAATTGTTATCGTGGTTGATCTATGTGATTTATGTGTGTGAATGTGGATTGTGGTTTCGGGAATTTTTGTTGTTGAATAAAAAAGGGTAGTATGTATGATTTAGGGGTTGGTTGAAGAATTAATGTGCTTGATCGTGTTTGAAATGTTAATAGGGACATATTGGTTTTTGTTATTATGAGATCGTTGTTGGTTGCTTTCGCCTCTGCCGGTAGTTGCAACCGTATGGTACCTAGGTACCGGACGACGGTGGGCCCTACCGCCTGGTCGGTAGTCGGCTACCGTGGTAATCCTATCGGAAGGGTTCATTTGATTTGAACCGTACCCCTGGTACCGTAGGACCGGTACTTAGGTTCTGTGAGGACAGTACCCCGTACCGTGAAAGGTACCGTCTGGTACTTGATGCAGGGTTTGTAGATCTGTACTTTCGTCAAGGATTGATTCTGAGACTTCATGTGAGTACCGCTGAGTGTGTTGTTCTGTTTATGGAAATGTTTAAGTGTTTGTTATCACTTGAGAATTCTGTTGAAAATTGGCCACCTAATATACCTAGGCGGATCTGAACTGAATTGGATAGTTTATTTACCAATAGGACTGTTGTTAAGTTCAGGTCTTGTGGAACATGTATGCATATCCAGTGGTTCAGGGTTCAAAGCATACATATGAGACTCATTGTTCTACCTAAGGGATTCCTTGGTGTGGACTCCAACCCGCCCATTGAGGATTCTCTTTGGGTTTGTCCGAGCATCGGCCTCGAGGGATCCTCTCGAGCGTCTGTAACTCCAGTATGTTGATTTAAGCATTAGTGTTGTAGGGACATAATCAGCCCATTGAGAATAAATGAATTGGAACTGTTCGATCCTTGTAACTGAAAATAAATGTTGATTATTCACTGATGTTGCTGATTATATAAATGCAATACTATCTATGAAATTAATTCTAGTGTTATACTTCCCCCGTCCTATAATGTTCTTCTCATACACTTTTTACCCGGTCAAACTTTAATCACTTTCTTTACCTATTTTCATTAGGTATTTGATAAAATAATATAATCTTGTCACCACTTGTTTTGTAGAACTTTTGATGTAGTTTTTAAATATATAAATTTTATTTTTTAATTTTACACCTACAATTAAATAAAACGAATTGAAAATAAAGTCGGTCAAACTTCGTAAAATGAACCGGGAAGATCATTATAGGACGGAGGGAGTATATTTTTTCACTCAGCTTCATTGCTGAGCGTGTAGCCCCTTTTCCCCCTTGTTACACGTAGGTGGTTGTGCAAGATTGATTCTTGAATCTACCCCTGAGAGCAGCATGATGGAGGAGATGTACGGATGCAGGAGTTTAATAAAGTTGATGTTTGATTAAATTAAAAAGCTTCCGCACTATTTGTACAGACTCCGATATGCATTTAATTATTTTAAATTACTTGAGTTTTATATTAAATGTTTTAATTTCTTGGAGATATTGTATGTGGATACTAATTTAGTAGCAACCCGGTTCGCTAATCTATTTATTCGGGTTATGCGGGTTGGGGTGTTACAGGCATGCTGGATCAGCCCGCCCTTACTGTTGAGTTCAAGTAGGGAGACACTTCATATCGTAACATACGTGTTGGATCAACACGGAGCAACCACAATCATAACAAGTAGCGGCCTAGTATTGGGTATTGACACCCAAACTTACTGTTATGCAACACACATAGTCTTAGACATCATCCTTGTCGTTTGAATGTTTCAAGAACCAATTGTCACTGTCACGCAATACCAGTCTCGCCACATGTGTACCGGCGAACGAAACCTAGGTACCGCCACCTGGTAATGCGATACCATGAGGAGACATCGACCAGAAACACCAAATGAATTGAGGTGGTAGCTAGCTGGCTACCGTTCGGCCGGTAGGGTGTACCGACCGGGAACAACATCTGGTAGTGGCTGGCTATCGTCTAACGATTGCAACCTGATGCAGCGTAAGTTTCTAACATCCAGCGCTGTTTCCGAGTCCCGAATCCAACTCAAACTAATCCCAACAATAAACCATGGTTAGCATATTGCATAAACTCATGTTCAATAATCAATTAAGGCCCAAGATCATGCTCCTACCCATTTTAATCCCATTGAACGACCCAAATCCCTCAACATGCGATTCATACAAGTATCATCAAATTCAATAAGCATAATGATACCCACGTATATTTCAAACCTAAAAGAATACTCTAAAATTAGGGTTCCACGTACTCACTTTGAAACGAAGATCAATTAACTATGATGCAGGGTTTGAAAATGAGAGAGCAATGATGAGTTCTCCTCCTTTGCCGCAACTGTTCCAAGGAGACAGAGATGAGAGAGATGTGTTAGTACGTGTAGCTTGGGGAGGGTTAACGCATGCATGGGTGGTTTAAATACCATAGGGATTCGTGCTCCGTAATTATTTAATGTACCTAGAAAAAACACTCTTTTTCGACCAACTTTTTTCGAATCATGATCCGTTTGCACCGTTGGATTCATCTCGCTGAACCCTACATAATGGTTTCATCTTTATAATTAATTGACCAATATTTCTAGTTAATCGTAGGTCCGTCTAAATAATTAATTAATTATTTTTAATTAATTAATTCTGATAGGCCGTATTGTGAGCGTTAGATATAGGATATTAATTATTAATTGCCTTCCTTATTTCTTTATTTCCTTATTGTATTGTTATCAG